AGTTATAAAGCAATTCAGAAGATATCTAAAACTGGTAGGGCTCATGAGGAGAGAGGGGTTGGGTGGAATGTTGAGGGAAGCCTTGGAATGCACCCCGAAAAAGAATTCCCATGCTGATGATGAAGAGTACTTGTTATCTCAGTGATTTCAGAGTAAAAACAAGCATCAATTCATGGCGAATTAACTCCAAAACTTTCAGCTCATCAGTTTTGAGGCAAAAATATTTCCATCCACGTAGTGGCATTGGGCTGCCAAAATTTGAGTCAGATATTAGTCCACATCTACAAGTGATTCTATTGCAAAACTGCCATGTAATCCGTCAGGTCATTTGTCTCATATACCCGGTATATAAATGTTACCCACATCTCCTAGTACTAAACAAACACGATCTACAAGAATGCTCTATTATTTTTACCTTTCTGTAACACTTCTACTTGCCACAGTTCAATCTCGATTACGTAAGTATCCACAATGTTCATAATGATTTATTTATTTCATGAATGATTAATTTTCCCATTTGTTCATTAATTAAATATTGGTGGTCCGTGTTACTTAGTATAAGGTGACGTTGCAATGACCACGGAAAGAACGAAGTCATCGATTTACTGACAAATTATAAACTATTTTTTGATTGCACTCCATAGCAGTTTGAAGACATCCTTATCATTGATTCAAGTGGACTGTTTCCACCAACAGTTGTAGATGTTGCCAGAACCCTCATTGATGGCCCTGAGAATTTTAGCACAACTCGAGTTTGAGGCATGCAATGAAATATTTACTCCATTATCTCAATTGCAATGTCTTCTAATAAGAAGATGTATTCTTATTGCTAATTCATTTCCGGCTTAAACAGTGTGTGGTGTGTTTTCTCTAATTGTGTTGGACCTAGTGACAAATACGACACTAATTGCACAATTATTGAAAATATTATTATCAATTTCAAATGGCAGGCTTTATGATATTTATCATTAGCTCTGAAAAATTGACTTCAGCTTCCCCCGAGGGTAGGGGGGTACATTTAATGCAGTTAATTAATAGCAGTTCATTAGCTGTCTTCTTGCTTCCCAGTATCTTTGGCTTCAGCTTCCCCAAGAGGGGGGGGGGGTACATTTATAGCGGTTAAAATAGCGGAAAAACTTTGACTTCATCTTCCCCCAAGGGTGGGGGGGGGGGTACATTTATAGCCTTAATCTTTGACTTCAGCTTCCCCAAGAGGGGGGGGGGGTACATTTATAGCGGTTATTAACACAGCCCATGGGTGGGGGGTACATATATAGCAGTTAATTAATAGCAGACATTAGCAGTCTTCTTGCTTCCCAGTATCTTTGGCTTTCCTATTAGCTGTCTTCTTGCTTCCCAGTATCTTTGGCTTTCCGACATTGTCTTTAGGGCTAGACACCGAATCAGGTGGGCCTTCTCCATTTCCTCCTGTCGGTTACAAAGGGGACATGTGGGTTGAGTGTATACTCCCAATCTGTGAAGGTGTTTTGCCAGGCAATCGTGTCCAGTACGCAGTCTAAACTCTGCAACGGCTTCGATTCTTGGCCAGTCGGCTATGTCAGAGAGTGTCACTGTCCACTGTTTCTCCTTTGTTCGAGCTTTAAGTTCGTTGTGCCTTGAGGTCAGGAATTCTTTCCTGATATGTGGAAAGACATCGGGCGGTCCATGCATTGCAAAATCGTTTTCAAATTCTTAGCAAATCTGTCAGCAAGCTCATTAAGGGTCAGTGAGCGCATTTGTTCTGGAGGGCTGTTTGATTTCCTGAAGAAGTCAAGCAGTTGGGTGCAACACACTACATCAATGTCTGCTAATGGGTTCATGGGTAGAGAGAGGCTTTTGGTTTGATATCGATTTGTAATGCTTTCTTCAGTTCTATGGCTTCCTGTATTAGACCAGATTGCGTTTTCAGATGTCTTGGTCTATTCTCATAGGTGCTGAAGAACTTATCCATGGGAATGCGCAGTAGCTGTAATGAGTGCCTCACAGCAATAAAACATTATTGGCTGAATAAATATCTTGTAAATGGTGTCAAGAGTTGAGCGTACACAGCCCCATACGCTGCCAGCAAGATGCTTCAGTAAATTCAGTCTATTGGAGATTCGTTCTGCTATTTTAGCAATGTGACTTTTCCATGTTAGCTTTGTGTCAAACATCATTCCGAAATATGTGAACTCGTTGATTTTTTCTAAGGTAGTATTATTGTACCTTAGATGCGGGTTCATGCTGTGACGGACCAAAGAAAATGTTTAAAATGCATCTATCGCGGTGTTCATAACCATTCCATTGTTGTCGCCATTTTTTTGCGGTGTTCATAACCATTCCATTGTTGTCGCACCAGTTTGCTAGTAGTTTAAGTGCACAATTTAGGGCACTTTCTGACCTCTCTTGAGCGTTTTTCTTAGGGTCGGAATAATATAGAACAAGATCATCTGCATAAAGAAGGGGCGGAATACCATAGAACAAGATCATCTGCATAAAGTTTTCACGTAATACCCTAGAACAAGATCATCTGCATAAAGTAAGCACTCCACGGATGTCATTGATGAAGACATTGAAAAGAGTGCAGCATGTGATAGCTCCCTATGAAAGGCCTGTTTGTAAAAGATTAGATTTTGATAGAGCATTTTCATATCTGACTTTACATGATCTATGTCTAATGAATGCTTATATCTAATTTAGCATGTTACGCTTAATACCAATCTTTGCCAATTTTAGAATTAGCTTCTCTATCGGTCATATGCTGATTTGAAGTCGACGAAAACAGCCGTAAGAATATGCTGATTTGAAATCGACGAAAACAGCCGTAAGAGTAAGAGTTGATTTTTGGGCTCAAAAACCTGCTTGCTCACTCCTAAGAATATTGTTGGTCTCAAGGAAACAGGTCAGCCTCCTGTTAACTATTCTTTACATAAGTTTAGCCAGCACGTTTGTGAGGGAGATAGGCCTATAGTTGGCAAAGTTGCTAGGGTCTTTGCCCTTTTTTAGTATTGGAATTAATATGGCAACATTCCATTGGTTAGATACAAGACTGGTCTCCCAGATTTTGTTGAAAAGCGTTAGCATGGTTTCCTTGGCTTTTGGTCTCATTCTAATTAGAAATTCCGGGGGTCTCATTCTAATTAGAAATTCCGGATGAATACCGTCTTCACCAGGAGACCTCTTGCACTTTAGCTGTTTTATCGCAGCATTAAATTCGTATGGTGTGAATGGTTCAGTAAGTACGTTATTTGGTGTTGCTCTGTCTTCGTTCATTTCACCAAAATGTCTTACGTGTATCTTTAAATCTCTTGAAGATTTCATGACAAAAGGTTTTTTCTTCTGCTTGTGGAAATAGAACCTCGCAAAGAAGTTAGCTATTTCGGAGTCGGTGGTAAATAGTTTGTTTTTTAAAGATATTGGTTCTTTCTTGGGTCTTTCCCTGTTGTTTCGGAGGTTACCCAGGAATTTGAAAGTGCGTTGACTATCACTTTGATAGTTGATATTTGAGATGAAGTTGTCGAAGGAAGTCCGTTTAGCTTTTAAGATGTCTTGTCTTAGGACAGCTGACTGCCGTCTCCAGGCTTGTACGTCTTCCGTTCTTCCAGTCTGATCAGCAGTGTTGCGAAGGACGTTCCGCTTTCTTTTCACTTCCTCAAGGTGTTCAGACCAAAACACTCGATAGAGTTTAGTCTTGCCTTGGGGAATAGTTTCCTTTGCACATTTGATCATAATATTCCTGATACCATTGCAAAGTTTGTCAGGATGTTGGTTGAAGTTGAGAGGACTTGTGTGAAGTTCATTCTCTAAAAGGTTTTGGAATCTAGGCCAGTCAGCCTTCTTGAAGTCCCACAATATCTAAGTTGACACTTTCCTCGTCATGCTTTTGCTGCCGATGGTAATACTAACAATGACTGGTTTGTGACCAGAACAAGGATCGTTAAATATTTTGCGCCGTGTATGCTCGCTGATGTCGCTTGAAGCCAGGAGCAAGTCAGGAGTTGTTCTGGTTCCATTGTAGTGCAAATATGTAGCCGGATTCTCATTGCTGTATATAAGTTCCAGAGTTTTGCAGTTTATCATGTCTTCGATTTCCCTTCCAGCTATGTTTGTATTCTTATAGCCCCATCTGGTGAAATGGGCATTGAAGTCTCCTACTACTACAGTTTTGTGTAAGATGTTCAGAAAGTCATAGTTGGGACAATTTTGGGGTAGATTATAGACTGCATATATCTT